TATTCGACGAAAATTTGATGTAAGAATCCGAAATATTGAATTTAAATAATGTTTTATACACAGCCTGTTCCAGGGGTAGCCAAGATTAAAGAAGGATATAATCCAGCTACTTGGATGTTGGATGTCACCTCCTCCGCTGCTGAAGGTCAACTCGATGTTGACTTTGCCGAAGTTTATGCCAATTCTGCCCTTTATCGGTAAGCGAAAAAAACCGGAGACAAAATGCATGCCTCAATAATTTCGATACTATTTCTTGATTTTATATTTTTCTTCTTCTTCTTTTAGGAGGAATCAAGAACTGATAAAAGAACTGAGCAATCCGCCACCTGGATCATCGGATTTATATTTTCCGACACAATATTCGCAATCTTTTTTAACTCAGTGCAAAGCTTGCTTTTGGAAGCAGCATTGGTCATACTGGAGAAACTCGCAGTACAATGCTATTCGTTTCTTCACGACGGTCGTTATTGGCGTTATGTTTGGCGTTATCTTTTGGCAAAAGGGAGATCAAATGTAAGCTAAAAAAAATCCCCTTTTTTTTCAATCATATTTAATTTAGAAAAACAACGAAAAAATCACACCTTTTTTTATCTTTCAAATAATCAGACACAGGCAACAAGACTTGCTTAATCTATTGGGAGCAACGTATTCTGCTGTTCTTTTCTTGGGAGCATCAAATGCTTCGGCAGTTCAATCAGTTGTCGCAGTCGAAAGAACCGTTTTTTACCGTGAAAGGGCCGCTGGAATGTACTCGGAGTTGCCTTACGCATTTGCACAGGTAAATTTTTTTTACCCATTTTCTTGATACATGGTGTCCTAAAATATTTAGTGGGGTGTAATTTTTTTTATTTTTTATTATTACAGGTGGCGATCGAGACAATCTATGTCGCGATTCAGACATTAGTGTACTCGTTACTTCTCTACTCGATGATTGGATATCAGTGGACTGGAGAAAAATTCTTCTATTTCTACTACTTTATATTTATGTGCTTCACTTATTTCTCGATGTACGGTATGATGGTCGTTGCTTTAACTCCCGGATATCAAATTGCCGCCATTGTTATGTCCTTTTTTCTCAGCTTCTGGAACTTGTTCTCCGGTTTTCTCATCCCACGTCCCGTAAGTATTTATCTATATCTATATCTATATATACGTAAAAAATTCGAGACACGAACAATTTTTTTATTTTTTATTTTTTTATGAATAATTGCAGCTAATACCGATATGGTGGAGATGGTACTACTGGGCTTCGCCGGTTGCATGGACAATATACGGGATTTTCACGTCGCAAATAGGAGACCAAACAGGAGATCTTGAGCTAACGGGAAATATCGCAACGATGAAAGTGAATCAGTTTCTTAAAGAGGAATTAGGGTACGATCATGATTTTCTTATCCCGGTGGTGTTTGCGCATGTCGGATGGGTGTTGCTCTTCTTCCTCGTTTTCGCGTACGGGATTAAGTTCCTCAACTTTCAAAGAAGATGATTGTGAGAAATTAATTTTGAGGTTTTCGTTTGGGAAATGTTGTTCCATAATA